TAAGGGCACCAGGTAATGGGGGAATGGGTGTCAGCAAAATACACTTTGAAAACTTCCCCCAAAAAGTGAACCTGGGGGAGGGGGTGAAAATAAACTATGTATGTGCATGTACTTACTTACCTGTATAACCAGTAAACCATGAATGAAGGGACAGGGATTTGGCTCAGTGGTGCCGCCACCTGCCTCACAAGCACAAGGTTCCAGTGTGATCCCCGGTACCAAAAAAAAAGGAAAAATTATGATGAAGTTGAAAGCTCACACCTGTAATCCAAGCTACTTGAGAGGCTGTGGGGAGGATTCAAAGTTTGAAGCCAGTCTGGCCAATTTAACAAGACCCTAACTCAAATTAATATTTTGTAAAATGAAAAGGCTAGCTATAATAGCTCGGTAGTAAGGTGCTTGCCCAGCATGTGAGGCTCTCGCGTCAATCCTCAATACCACTATAAAAAAAAATTGCAATAAAAGTTTATATTGTAGTGAAAATGACTTATAAATTGGGCATGGTGCTGCACACCTATAATCCCAGCACTCCAGGATCACAACTTCAAGCTCAGGTTGGGTAACTAAGCAATTCTGAGACCCTGGCTCAAAATAAAATTTTTGACTGTTTTTGTTTGTTTGTTAGGTTTGGTTTTGAGAATCGAACTCGGGTCCTTGTGCTTGCAAGGCAGGCAGCAAAACCACTGAGCTGAATCACCGGCCCTCAAAATAAAATTAAAAAAAAAAAAAATCTGAGGATGGCCAGATATGGTGGCGCATGCTTAAAATCCCAGCACTCGGGAGCCTGAGGCAGGAGGATCGCTGTGAGTTCAAGACCAGATTGGGATACATAGTGTGTTCCAGGTCAGTCTCAACTACATAGTGAGACCCTGTCTCAACCCCCACACCGCCCAAATATCTGAGGATGTAGCTCCATGCAAAGGTCCCAGGTTCAGTCCTCAGGGCTGCAAATCAGTCAATATTAAAAAATAAAATAAAAATGAATGATAATAAGACTTCAAGAGTGCTGGGGCTTTGGATTTTTCATATCAAGAGGATTGTTGGTTTGACTAAATAGCAGTTTCACTGCCTGATTTAACAAAGTCCCTCGCTCATTCTGATAAAATTGCATCATCTTTTTAATAAAAAAAAGAAATGCATTGAATATGTGTGGGCCTCTTGTGGCAGAACTGGTTGAGTCCCTTGTCAGTCTTGTATTCACAAGAGGAACAAGTGACCTGATTAAACATCTAATGTTCGTGGAAGCCGACCTAACTTCTGCGGAGCCTGTCTTTCCCTCTTACCTCATCCCGCTAGCCCTTTTCTGTTTGAGCAGAAGTTCTGGGGTCAGCAGCTCAGATGATGGCATATTTATACAGTCTTTGTCTTCCCAGCATTTGTGCAACCTGCTTTTGGCATCAGCAAATTTATCTTCCTTTGATAACCCACCATTCCCTCCACCCACTACCCCTGAGGTTTGGGAAGATTAGCTCTACCCTTTGGCTCCTGGAGTGGCCATGAGACCAGAGCTGGCCAATCAGAGCATTCTATCTCTGTGGCCATTGGGATTGGCTGGGGAGTATGAAGAAAGCATGGAGAAAGTGCCAGAAGAAAAGAGAGATATCTTGAAAACAGAAGCAACCGAACAAAACAACTTCACATTGGCTTTGGAGTTCTCTGAGAAAGATTCTTAATTATGTTAGTTTTTTGTTCATTTGTTTTTTGAGACAGTGTCTCACTTTGTAGTTCAGGATGGCCCTGAACTCAATGGGTAGTTGAGGCTGGCCTTGAATTTGCATTGATCCTCCTGCCTCAGCCTCCTGAGTGCTGGGATTACCAGCATGCACTGTCACTCCCAGCCTTAACTATGTTGTTTTATCTGTAGGATCTAATTATGCCTGAAACTGACATTTATCCCTATATGCTTGAAAATGTTTTTAATTTAACAAATGTTTAATCATGTGTGTGTATGTGTGTGTGTGTGTGTGTGTGTATATATATATATATTTTTTTTGGTACCGGGGATCAAACTCAGGACCTTGCACTTTTGAGGCAGGCAGCAGAACCACTGAGCTAAATCCCCGGCCCTAATCATATTTTTTTAAACACCAAGGATCCAAGAGGAAGGTGCCATCTTGCTGAAAGTAATTTCCTTTTCCTTTTTTCACTGCTCTTCTCTTCTGTTGTGCTCTGCTCTCTTCTCTTCTTTTCTTTCAGCGTCTTGCTATGTAGCTCAAGCTGACCTCAAACTTACAATTTTCCCACCTCTGCCTCCCAAGTGCTGGTCTTCCAGTTATGCATCACCAAGCCCAGCAGAGAGTAATTTTTTCAACGATAACCAGAAGAAAGAAAAATTATTTAAAAAAAAACTTTTCAGAAAAAGAATGAACGTTTTCAGTTTGGTCTGAAACTAACAGACTAAAAGGTTTATTAGATTTGCAGGCCGTTCAGGGAATAAAGTGAGTCCAATACACCTGGCCTCTCTCCTTAAGGAGGGACGTGCCTCAGCCCACAGATGTGTCCCATTCAGAATACGGGGCACAGCCAGGGGTGGTGGCGCATGCCTGTCATCTAGCACTTGGGAGGATGAGGCAGGAGGATCTCAGCAAGTTCAAGACCAGCCTGGGCTACATAGCAAGACCCTGTCTCAAAATACCAAACTAACAAGTTTTTTTCAAATTATAAATTATTATAGTGCTTTATGTTCCTGTAAGCATTTTAGGGAGTCATTAAAATGTAGATTTATGAGATTTTATTCTGCAAACGCATAGACTCCAGTATGTGTCATGGTGGGGCCAATGTTGCGAAACCCTGGAAGACAGCAGATCCTCCAGACCATGGTAAGGGTGGGTTTGTTTGAGGCAGCCCTAGCCCTAACCTTATGTTAGTACTAATTTGATCACTACTAATTTGATCAATACTAATTTAAGACTGGAAGAAACTCCAGTTTAAACTAGTTTAAACAGAAACGAGGATTTGTTGACTTTCATAGCAGAAAGTCCACAGTTAGGACTAATTTAAAATGTGGCTGCATGCAAGGGTCAAATGTGCTCCATCTTTCAGCTCTTTTCTCTTCCATGTGGACTTTGTTTTTTATTATTAAGTTTTGTTTTGTTTTGTTTGAGACAGGGTCTCACTAAGTAGTTGAGACTGACCTGGAACTTACTATGTTCAGCCTGCGTACTGTCTCAAAATTTAAAAAACTTTTTTTTTCTGGTACCCGGGATTGAACTTGGGACCCCATGCTTGCGAGGCAGGTGGCAGAACCACTGAGCTACATCCCCAGCCCAAAATAAGTTTTTTTTAAAGGGCTGCGGATGTAGCTTAGCGGTAGAGCACTCACCTAGCATGGGTTCAATCTTCAGCACTGAAGAAAGAGAAAGCAAACAAGCAAGAAAGGGAGAGAAAAAGCCAGACAGGACCAATCTAGCCCCCCAAGTAGGAAACTAAAACCCACGATTTCTGGGGAACCCAGATGACTTTTTCTTCTGGCATCACAATGCTGTAGGAAGTCACTTCAAAGCAACTTTGGCGTTCTCATAAATATGAGACTTCTCAGAAAGTGAATGTCGGAACTGTCCCTTCCTCCAAGCTTCTGCTGAACGACCCAGTCAGTCTTGCAATGTGACTTCCCCATCTCCCCTCGGCCAGCCTTCATCTTTGTGTCCTTCCTTCAGGAGCGCTTGGTTTGACCCTGGCCTCCTCCCGGGGTGAACAGAAGCATCTGCCTTTCTGATCCCATCAATTCCGATTGCGTTCACCGTGCAAAGTGGGGCCCCGGCAGGGACCACACGGAGACAGAGCTCAGGCGCAGGTCTGGCCCTTAACTTGTTACACATTAACAGCCTGCTCTGTGTTTTCTTCTGAGGAATCAGAGACTTAGGAAGTTTTTTTGTCCAATTGACATGACCTTCATTTGGGCCTGCAGAAGGCGGAAAGGGAACTGAAAGAGGACAAAGCTAGACTTCACTTCGCGTCGTTTGGACCACATCTCAGCCCTGCATAGAGGCCCTTAAGGAGCGTCTGTCTAGAAACTGGATGGACAAGACTGCCGAGCCCTCAGCTTACACACACCCCTTCAAGACGAAGGACATCCAGATAAGAGATTGAGGGCGACATTCAACTCCCAGTGGGCACCCACGTCTCCAGTCACCACCCTAAACCTACAATCACCTTGGATTCCAGCAGCGCCTCCACAAAACTGAGACCACTCCAAGCAGAAGCAGTCACCTCATGGAGACAAAATTGCCCCCTTAAGCAATAAGGACTTCTCCAGAGCCACCTGGCAAAACCAGAATGGAGATGACCAACAGACCTAGCCCACCCCAGCAGTTCTAGTCTGATTCCTCTGTTTTGGTACCAGGGATTGAGCTCGGGACCTTGCACTTGCTGGTCTCGGGACCAGCAGAACCACTGAGCTAAATCCCGAGCCCCGATCTGGTTCCTTTGTTATGCGACGGGTTTAGTCCTCTCCCAGCTGAGGTCCCGCAGTGCTGCTGGGGACACAGGCTACTATGTCCACGATCCTGAGCACACAGACTTTCGTTTTGATTTACCCCTCGTGGTTGCAAGAAAGCTGCTGCGCCTCTTGTCTTATGTTCGTGGTCCAGTCAGAAAGAAGGGCGAGAAGACAAGGCTTTTTAATTTTAATGTGATCTCATCTTTTTATTTGGGAAGTGTTAAATTATAAAAATATGACCATCTGATTATGTTTATGTGTTAAAGATTTTATTTTACTCATTTAATAAGAGAACCCAGTGAGATCTTAAAACCAGTTGAAGGAGAGTTTAAAAAATACACACTCAGGTCAGCAATTATACTTGCACACATATTTGCATAAGCAAACAGAAATGCTGAAATGAATTTGCGGAGAGAAGGAAAGCCAGTGGGTGTGAACCGAGCCTTAATCCTTCGCTGCTGCTTCTCTGCAGAAAATCTATTTGCATTTCTATGGGCAACCATCATTTGCATAGCCTTCGGTATTCCGCAAACTTGGAAAACAGCTGAAACATGGAGAGGTAGAGATGGTAATGAAGGTAATGTTAGTCAGAACACCCAGCATTCTCTCAGCCCCTTTCAAAATATTTCGGGGTTTCCTAGCCGAAGAGCCACCCTCCTCAGGACCTGTGCTTCCACCTGGACCTTGACACAGAGCTACTTCTGTGGCAAGGGTGGCTGGGGAGTGTAGTCTCTGTAGCCGGACACAGTCTCGAGTGAAACGGGCTGAATCTGCCTCGCCTCGAACCCACATGAAGTGCTCAGGGTGCTGATTTAGTCGTCTTTGGCCTGAGGCTGCTGCAGGGGACAGCTGCTGGGTTGGATGCCTCGGTACCACGCCCTCTTCTGGCAATAAGACCTCAGTTTTCTTCCTTTATGGACTTTCACCTCTTTCCAAATCCAGCGCCAATGACAGACTCTTGATTTACAGCGATTGCTTGAGAGGTGGACATTAACTGGAGCCAGGCCTATCAGACTCAACCTCGGGATTTTTATTGGAACATAAACTGTGACTTGAGTAGGAAATAGTAATATTTATGTTAGAAAGATACAGAATCAACTTTCCGACAACGCTTGGGGCCCAGGCGGATTCCTGTACTCTCTGTAATAGTCCACTGTCTCTCTGAGGGTCTGCGGCTTTCGGGGACAAGCCGGGGACGCTCCTTGATTCAGTTAATTAATGCATCATCTCTCCTCTCCGTAGCTGAGAACTGGAAGGCCGTGGGACTGCAAAGCTGGGTTTCAGCGCCAGCTATACAAGGCACAGGACACCCAGAAAGCTAAGTCTCCATATCACTATTCGGAGCAATATATATATATATATAATTTTTTTTTTTTAATTTAGGGAATTGGCTAGGCGGCAAAAAACCTCAAACACCCGGTGAGAGATTAACAATAGCAAGGAGCCATCGCTGACCCCAGGCGGGAGACTAGATCGGGGCGCAGGGGCTGGAAGGGCTCCCCAACAAAGCACTGCCAGAGATGCCGCCCAAGGAGGCCCGGGTTGGGCGGGTGGGGCGGGGCCGCCCCCAAGGACTGAACCTCGCTAGGAGCTGGAGCTAGGAGACCTAGGGCAGCAGCTGCAGGACAGCGCCCCCTTCTGGACAAGGCGTGGAGAGGGGCGAGGAAGGAGACGGAGGCGGGACGGGTTACCTGTTCGCATCTCGTGACTTCTGAGAGTGCCATCGATTGTCCCTGGCTGCACGGAGGAAAATGCTTCCGACTGCGGACTACGCTGACACAGTGTCACGACCCCATCGCAACGCATCTTGATAATACAAAATTTTGAAATGTCGATCCCCATACCCACCCCAAAGAGAAGTGACAAACTGCTCCAAGCTTTATTTTTTAAAAAAATTTGTTTTGAAATGTCGCAAGGGAGGAGTGGACAAAGCACTCGGTGGGTACGAATAAAATAAAGTTAGATAAAAGTAAGAAGCTACAGTGTGCTATTGTGCAGTGGGATGACTGGAGATAACAAATTTTGAAAAGCCAGGAGAAAGTATTTTGCAAATTTCACCATAAAGGGATGACAAATGAGATAATGTCTAGCCAGACTTCAACATTACACAACGTAAACATGCATCGAGTTGTCCCATGGAACCCCACGAATATGTACGTGCACAATTTTTATGTTTTTTTTTTTTTTTTTTTGGTACCGGGGATTGAACTCGGGTCTTTGAGCTTGCCAGGCAGGCCACCAAACCGCTGAGCTAAATCCCCGGCTCCTAATTTTTATGTTTTTATCAATTAGAAATAAATTTTAAAAATAAATTTTACAAAATAAATTAATTTAAAGACAACAATGATCTAAATGTCAAAATGTGAAAAATGTGCACGCTAATATCAATAAAATATGCTATTTGTTGTGTGACCTTAAGTATATGTGACCTCGGTTCATTTCCACTTTTGAGCATTGATTTTACCATCTGGACATTAGGGACAATACACTAATACCTGCTTCACAGGTCTTTCCACAGGCTCAAATCTGCTAATGTCTCAGGCTGTTAAATTTACTGAGTAGAGACTTTTATTCCTTTTATTAAAACAATGAACTAGCCTTGTATGGTGGGGCAAGTGTGTAGTCCCAGCACTCAGGAGGCTGAGGCAGGAGGATCTGTGGGAGTTCAAGGCCAGTCTGGGCTACATAGTGAGTCCCTGCCTAAAAAAAGAAAAAAGGAATTTGTTTTGTGCCTAATATATAGTAGGAACTTAAGTAAAATTTGTAAAATGGATCCATCTAGACTCTACCAATGTTCATGGCACGCTGTTATTGTTTGTTTTTTTTTTTTTTTTTTTTTTTTTTTTTTTGGTACTGTGATCAAATCCAGGGTCTTCAAATTGAACTATATCCCCAGCTCTTTTATTTGTAATGACTTTTTTTGTTTTTTGTTTTTAAGACAGGGTCTCACTATGTAGTTCAGGGTGATCTGGAACTCACTATATAGCCCAGGCTGCTCTCAAACTCACAGAGATCCTCCTGCCTCAGCCTCCCGAGTGCTGGGATTACAGGCGTGCGCCACCATCCCCCAGCTATAATGACTTGTTTTTTTGTACTGAGGATCTAACTCAGGACCCTGTGCTCGCAAGGCAGGTGGCAGAGCCACTGAGCTAAATCCCTGCCCCCCCCAGCCCTTTTATTTGAAATTTTATTTTGGAGGATCTCACTAAGCCCTTAAATTTCTCAGGCTGGGCTGGAATTCTCAATCTTCCTGCCTGCCTCAGCCTCCCAGATTGTTGAAATTACAGGTGCTCACCATCATGCCCGGCTGGTACAGATATTTTGTTTTACTAGTATAACAGAATTGACTTTTATGATAAAGGGCACCTCTCTTATTTAAGAAGGTCGGATGAAGGCCATGTTGAATGAATTTCTGGTGGAAAAGACTGTGCCAATAGCATGTGTGATGCTGCACATCTGTAATCCCATTTAATTGGGAGGCTGAGGCAGGAAAATCCCAAGTTGAAGGGCAGCCTGGGCAACGTTCAGACTGTCTCAAGAAGTATGGGTGAGGGCCAGGGATTCAGCTTAGTGGTTCCACCTCCTGCTTTACAAGTTCAGAGTCCTGAGTTCGATCCCTGGTACCACACACACACACACACACACACACACACACACACGTGTGGGTGGGATGTAGCTCAGTGGTAGCCTCTGGGTTCAGTCACCATGGAATGGAGCTGGCAGTGAAGGGAATTAGGTCATTAGGTCGTGTGGGTGGAAGATAAAGCAAAATAGACCAACCCTCTCATCTACAGAGCCCTTTTTTGGTTTATCATTCCCCAAGCTCTCGTACTCTTGAAGGATTTGTAGTGTTACCATTCCCATTTCACCAGCGAGACTCGGACTGAGTATGCAGATGAAGGGATTTTCCCAAAATAAGATAGCTGGGAGGGAAGCTAAAATCATCTCACATGCTTTACAGTCAGGTATAAGGCCTGAGATGGGATAAAGTAATTTACAGGTAAAAAAGATGACGAAAATAGCTGTTAGCGTGGTCAGACTATGGGAGATGACAAACATGCAAGTCACACCCACAGGATGTTTTTAACCCCTCGAATTTAGGGGATGGTGTTGAGACCAAACGTCTCATCTAGCTGCACTCTCCCCTAGGGGCGTGACATCCTGTCCTGGAGCTTAGTCAGGATCCGGGATGTACCCTAGACACTGGGCCAACGCTCCCCGGTTTATTAATAGGGAGTCATTTCTGACTCACGAGCTGCCCCTGCGCTCGCAAACTGCGTCCTCGTGCAGGCGCGCACACCTGGAGTAGCGCACGCCCTCCACGGACAAGGAGCACCGTCTACCGGCCGGGTGCCTCGGGCCGGTTTAGCTCCGCCCCAAAACAAAGGGCGCATGCTCTCTAATTTCGCTCCGCCCCTTCACTTTGGTTTCTCGCGACAACCACCTAATACAACTGGAATCTCGCGACAAATATTTGTAGTGTCGCGAGAGCACGCTGGGTAGACGGGTTCTGGGGCTGCACTAGGCGGCGAGGAGGAGTTGCATGTGTCGCTTCAGCTGGCGGGAGCTGCGGGAGCGGAGGCGGCTGTGCGACCGCCTGGGTAAAGACTCCCTTCCGGTTCTGAAAGGCTTATTGCGCGGGGGAAGCTGAGATACCGCCTGGAGTAAAGGGGCCGGGCGTCCCCGCTCCCGCCACATGGGCCCCTCTGGTATCCCCGGGTTGCCCCTTCGTCTCAGTACTGCTCGTCCTTGTCGCCTCAGCCGTCTTACCCTCCGCCGGTACTTGGTTCTTCTGCCCCCACTTCATCCTCACGCTCTTCGGGGCCCGGCCACCCCGACCCCTCCCTCCCGCTTCCCCGACTCCTCGGAGTCCCCGCACCCTGCGTTCTGGACACCGCGTGTGACCCGCCCCTCTGCCTGGGCTCTCCCGGCCTCTCTCCTTCCAGCTGTGTGGAGCCTTCCTCACCGCAGCTTGCATCCCTCCCAGGTCACCCTCAGACCTTTTGCTTCGTCTCTTCGAGGTCACCATTTCCATTCCCTCCCTCTCATTTGCTTCCTCTTTCTCTGCTCAATGCCCCCCCCATCCTTCATAGTCCCGTTCGCTACTTGCTTCCATGTAGACTTGGGGACCAGGTAGATGTGCCAGGAATTGCTCTCATTTCATGATCTCATACAGCTCGTCTTACTCACTTCACAGAGGGAAGCAGCTTTGGGGTGGGAGGCTATGTAGTGAGGGAAACCAAACTACACCCCAGTACTGCTGCTCCCTTTGGGTCTTGGATCAGAGTAATGAAGATGTCATTTCTGTTGCTTACAGGTTTATGAAATGGCTGCTGACATTTCTGAATCCAGTGGGGCTGATTTCAGAGGTGATCCGAAGAACAGTGCAAAGTTAGATGCTGATTATCCACTTCGAGTCCTTTATTGTGGAGGCAAGTGTTGGAAGGTGGAAGATGGCTTTTACTGTTCTGATGCCTTGCATTGATAGTTTGACATTTGTTCCTTAAGATTTT